CATCCCAATCCCCCCCCTCCACCGCAGCTCTAAACTCTCTCCCCTAGAGACAAACATACCCCCGACATGCAAATCTACTGGACTTCTGCATACCTATCTATCTTTGTCCTACGCTTCTCTATGTATTTATATCTCATATATACATTGCGTTTTACTCCGGTTCCTTGAAAAGATTTCCTTCCACAAAAAGCATCGACTCTGCCAGCCCGGGGCCGCAGCAAGCCCGCGGGACGTGTGGAAATCCCTAAAGGCAGCCAGCAGCCGGTCCAGCCTCGACAAAAAATGCCCCCAGCCAAGAACTACAGCTGAAACCAACCCAAAACTCAGAGAACTCCCGAATCTACATCACTGCCTGAAGCAGGAGGAGAAACCAAAGTGCCAGGTAGATTTTGTCCTAATACAGACTGCAAGGTATGAGCAGCAATAAGTCTCAAATGCGTGTGCTGTGCCCGGATGCCCCGAGACACGACTAAGCCCTGCCGGGACTGTGCCTGGGCTGCTGAGCACAAACCCTGAGCCCTCAACACCCCTGGAGGTAGGTACAGCAGAGTTGTCACTCCCTTTATATTTATATACCCAAACACTGTCACCTCCAGCCTTCCCCCAAAGCGGGTGGCACTGAACCAGCTGACAAGGAGGCCAACGCCAGATCAACAGCCTGGAGCCCACTAGCGACCAAAACCAGCCTCCAAGTCACAAGTGACCGACACACGGCAGCAGCAGTGAGCATCCGACCCTGGGAAAACCATCGCCTGCTCGCACAGGCACTCCCCACCACCCTGGCAGCTCACGGGGACCACTCTGCTCGGGGGGCACCTACGCACGCACCCGGCGAGACCGCAAACCATGCCGGTGCCTCCCGCCGAGGGCTCCAGCCCAGGTTCGTACTACAGGTCTGTGGCAGAGCTGGGAAGAGACCCTGGGACCCTCCAGCTCCCCCATCCTACAAACGCATCACTCCAAGCGCCCGTGGATGCAGTTAATGGCAGGCACAGAAATGGAGCCCCACAAGCGAGCCCTAAACACTCCCTTCTCTCCCCACTTACACTAACTTGCATTTGCCTTCACGTCAACATTGCAAAACCAAAACATCAGTGGGTTCGCACGGCAAAGTCACCTTAAAAATATGCGGCCGATTGCTCAGCAGCTCCTGCTGGAAAAGCAGGCAAAGCATTTTCCCTGCCCCACCGCCTGCCTGCAATGTGATGGCACGGGTTTGATGGAGAAGGTGCGAGGGACAGCACCCCACGACGACCCCCTCTTTCCAAGGGATCTCAGCGACACCCCTGTACCTACCTCTTCGCGTTACCTCCCCCAGCTCGGGGCCAGCTGAATCCTGCAACTCCCGCGGCAGCACGAAAACGGCGCTGGAGCATCCCCACCGCGGCCATCTCGCAGACGGAGGCACCAGCAAGGACCACCCAAAGCTGAGCTGGTGCCCACTGCACTGACGCCTCGGCGAAGCCCAGGGACAAATATTCTTGTGATTCAGAGACATTTTTTCACCGTGGCCCAGGATTTTCTAAGGGACCTAAATGAAACACATCGCGCTTGCACCATGCAAGGAGGAATCGTACGCTTACTGGTAAAGCAAGAGCCTTCTACCTCAGACAAGCTTACAAAATAAGAGAGTTTGGCCCAGGAAGATAAAAATCAAGATATATTTTGCAGCATGAAAGAAAAAAAAAAAATGAAGCAGCAGCAGCTGTGTTTGCAAACCACCAAAGCGAAACGGAGTTCAAACAGGGATGAAATGGCATCGTCTGACACAGCTTCGATGTCCCAGGTCCGTGGGAGGAGAGAGGAGCGACCCCCTGAAGGGCATGGAAACCAGAGGGCTGGGAGAAGCGAGGAGGTTGCCAAAGCAAGAGGCGAGCCCGTCTGCCAAAGCACGGCCCGAGTCTATCGGAAGGTAACTCGGTCTAGCGGGGAAAGGAGTTAAGGATGGTTTTAGGGAAGAGACGCTTCCACGAGGCGCCCGGGCGGGATTTCCCACTCCAGCAGCGTGGCAGGTACACGGCTGAAAGAGAGAGGGCTGCAGCTCCAGCCTCTAAAGGTCGAAGACCATGAAAAGCAGGGGGCCCAGCGGCTCAAAACACCTGCAAAAGGAAAACAACTCTCAAAAGACTGACCCCAGCAAGCCGGCGCGCTCCGTCAACCTTCCCTGCACTCCAAGTCCTCTAGAGCTCCTTAAGATGGGACGGGGGCACGGTCCCGAGGTAGAGACCTCAAGAGCCTGAAGACACTGCCTTGCCCGTACGAACGGGCATCATAAATAGTTTGGAAAGCACTCAAATGAAGAAAAAACCTTCTGTTAGAGAGGTCGAGGCAACGAGAGCGAAAGGAAGAGCAAGTCAGCCGTGGCATGGCCAGCGCAAAGCCTCTGCGCCTCCCCCCAAGCGGGGCATCCCCCGGCCCCAACCGTCACCTGTCCGTCGGGAGCAGCCCGGCTCGCCTCCGCACGGCGAGAGCCGCTGCCGCCGGCGCGCCGCACCGCTGAAGTTACCAACGAGCTGAAGTTAGCCAGGCAGAGTTTTCCCCGCTGCCGAGCGGGCGAATGGCATTAAATCAATTCAGATCCGAGCGGATTCTAGGGAAATCCCTAAAACACACTCAAATAAAAGAAATTCGCAGTCATACCGTTAGCGAAGTTGAATTCTCACTCTGATAGTTGAGGGTCTTACATCAGGTCACTCGTCACGTACTCAATAAAAAGCCCTGGTGCAGGCTGGAAAGAGAGGGGCATTTCTCCGAGACCCTCCCTCCTTCCCGAGACAAACCTGCTCACGGTTTGAAGACCACCTACACAAAGTTGTTAAAGCTTGGAAATATCTCGTTATCGATTTAGAGGATTCATTGTCAAGTGGTTCAAACCTAAGTCAGGGCTTCGAGATTGGAAAAGACGCAGTGCTCTGCTTTTCGTGGTTGCAGGTTTCTGAGCATTCTGCTGGAAGAGGAAGCACAACCTCTAAAACCAGATATTTTGAGGCAGAGCGATAAACGGCTCCTACCTAAAAAAGCTCCCGGGGCGCATGGCGTGGTCGGAGTGCCATATCCCGACCGCCCGGCTGAGAGCTCACGTCTTTCTCCAGAGATCTAAGCCCTTCGAGGTTCAACCAGCAGCAAGAGCAATAACCAAGGCAAAGCAGAATCAAAGGCGAGATTGCGGAGAATCTCTTGGCAAGTCTACCTGGGAATAAACAAAAAGTTTTGTATGCAAATGGAGAGCCTGGGGCAAAAACCATGCCTACAGGCTCTTCAATTCTCCTGACGCTTCTTCTACAGCCTGAATCCACTCAGAACAAGAATATCCACATGAAACACTCGGTGTTTTATTCCCAGGCAGGCTGGAGGGTTTAGCACTTTACCACAGAGGAAGAAGTGTGCAAACCTGGATGCAGCAGTTCATTTTACCACTTCAGAAAAAAAAATCTCTAAATATTTTAAAGGTAGGGATCACTTGCTATTAGCACTCAGCATTTACGTAGCACTTGCAGTCTGTAGGCGACCAAGTGCTTGTCCAAAGTGCTCAAATATGACTTATCCCCATTTTACAGATGGGAGAACTGAGGCACAGAGAGGTTGAGTGACTTGCCCAAGGCCACGCAGTCAGAGAGTGGAGGCAGAGCAGGAAAGCGAGCCCAGCTGTTCTCAGAGCGGAGCGAGCCCAGCTGTTCTCAGAGCCTGCTACACCTTTCCTGCTAAAAAAAAAAAAAAAAGGCCTATGCAATCCAGAAAACCACCGGCCGCCAAACCTACCCTAAGTATTTTGAAGAGGAAATACATTCTGGTGAAGAGTTAGAACAGCATTACCGAGAGGGGAACAGCGGGTCTCCTCGGATAGGGCAAAGGGAGGGACACAACCCCAGCGGGTGTCACAGCCTACAACGGCCGGGCTGGAGCAGGAGAAAGAAGGGGGAAAACAGTGAAACCAGCAGCAACGTATTTTTAAGCTGACGCGAAACGCTGGGCTTAGCTTTGCGCGGTCGCTCTGAGAAGCCATCCATCTCCATCCGCAGAGCTGGGGATTTTCCAGCCGCTCTCGCCTGGGCTCAGCATCTGCCAACGGAGGCTTTTGGGACCACGCAGCCAAACCCCCTTTGCTCGCACGCCTGCGGCAGCGTCTCCCCATTTTGCAGTTATGAATAAAGATTACAAACGTTACTGCAGTAAGAAATCACATTACTACACAGCACTGAAGAACATTTGCCAGCGATATACGGAGTGTCGGGAAGAATTAATCAAAACCACCCTCATCAAAGTTGACACGCACCATACTTTGGGGGAAAACACCCTTGGATGAAAACAGTCCCATACCTGCGTGCTCGCACAGCGTTGAGTACATGTTAACAAGGTTCAAATGCATTTGCACAGACAAATGGTGATTTCTTGTATCTCAGACCGATTCGAAGGCTTGGGGTCTTTCTGGTTTCCCCTTTCAGAGATAGGTAAGGAAAGATGTCATGGATGGTTTTGTTGCTGTTATCTTCACATAAAAGGAGGCTGGGAAGGGGGAGGCAGGGAGATTTTCACAATTACAGCTTTCCTGGGATTATTTGGTCGTGTTTTTACCATAATCAGATTCATGGGATTACCAGTTTCCATCTGGGTTGTTAGTTTCTTGTCAATTAATTACAACCTGTGTCATTTAATTTCTTCCGGCGATTGAGGGCCAGCTGCTCAATTCCACACTTTCTCCCTAAACGCGTGCTGCAGAATAGATGTCAAAAGCCCCATCTATGCCTTTTAAGCCTAGAGATCTTTTCCGAAACCGAGGTGCAACGCCCCCCTTCCCACCCCACCGAAGCCGTCTGGGGTGGGGGGAGAAGCGGAGCCGAGGAGCGCCCAAGCCCCAGGCATCCTCCCCTTACCCCCCTAACCTGCCCCAGGGTCCCCCCCAGGGGCATCCCCCCGCCTCTCCCGCTGCCTCCATCCCCCCCGCGGCACGATGTCGGCTCCCTCCACCCCCTCCTGTTTAACCTTCTCGGGCCGGCGCTAGGCTAAAGCAACGTGGCGTGCACGCCGGTGGCGTCGTGGTCCACGCTGTTGAGAATGGCTGTCTGCTCTCCGGGGAGCTGCCGGTGGCAGAGGTCGTCCTTCAGCGCCGAGAGGCGGGCGAAGGGGTCCTGACGAGGGTGTCTCTTCTTCTTGCGGAGGCAGACAGCTTCGTCAGGCCACAGTACCTGAGAGCTGGGAAGGTGCTGAACCTGGGAGGCAGAGCCATCTGGGGGTGGGGGGGGGAGAGAAGGCAGATGGGACCAGAGCCGGCAGCAGGCAGAGCGCTTTGCTTGCCCTAAGAAGGGGGTTACGGCAAGCCTGGCCCCAAACCCAGCTGCTTGGCGAGGAGGGAGCATCAGGACAAATAAATTGACACTCAAAAAGAAAATCCAAAAGAAATCACTAAAGATGGGAGACACATGGAAGGGGAACTCGGTTTGGAGGCAGGGGAGGAGCAGGGGAGGGACAGCCCGCGGGTGAGCAGACCGAGAGCCATCCCTTTGGGGGGCAGGGGGTGAGGGCAGCATCCAGGCATGGGCTCAGAGACCGCCCGGCACTGAAGCCGGCGGGGACCTGCCCAAGCTCTGCCCATAGGGGGACAGAGGGGATGCTTTTGGGTACCGCGGGGTCCTCGCACTCACTGGATTGTTTTCTGGATTTCGAGGAGCCCTTGGATGACTTTTTGGGCTTCTTTATCCGCTGGTATTTCAGAGCTTCGAGCCTCTCAGGTGCAGCAGCGTCCCCGGACGGAGATGGACGTTTTCTAGGAAGGAAAAGCAGACAGGCGCCGTCAGAGACTCTCAGCCACGTTTGGGCCTCCGGACGTCCCCGCTGGGGGATCGGTCGACCCCAGCCAGCTCTGCCGTGGAAAAGGAAAAGGTGAGAAACCCGGGGCCGAGGAAGCGGGGCCAGCCAGGCGTGCCGGAGCGTGGGGAGGGAGGAAGCGAGGCGCCTGCGAGTGCCGCTCCGCGAGGTCCCTGCCATCCCCCTACGTCTCCTGCCAAGCGGCCCCACGAGCCCAGCTGGTCCCGCCGGCAACATCCAACACCGGCCCCGCAAGAGAGCCACCGGCACCCCAGCTCACCTGCCTGCCATGTCAGCACCGCTAAACAAAAAAGGACGGGGCAGATCCTATGTCCGATAAGGCATTTCTGGGAAGCAGTGGGAAACCCCTTGGGATGGAGATAGAGGAAGAGACAGGCAGAAGCGGCACAGCAGCACCGAGACGGGCACCATGAGCCACCCGGGGCAGACAACACCGGCGCCACAAACAGCAGGGAGGCAGGATGCTGCCCGGCCCTGCTCCCACAGCCAAAAAAACCAGGGGCCACATGACAGACAGGGACATGAAGGGCACACGCCGACACAGCCGGGAGCGGTATCTCGTTCCCAGGTCCCTGCTATAAGTGACAACAGAAACACAACAGCACAGGAGCGTCTACTCCTTAACACCGAGAGGCTGGGAGCTGGGTTTTCTTGCCCTGTGGGACAGGACGTTGAAATGGAAGCTCTGACAAGGATTTATTGCGAGGGACAAGGAGGGGATTTGCAAAGGGGTGTTTCCCACAGAGGAGCCAGAAGTTGTGATAGTGTTCCAGCTTTAGCCCCTGAGTAACTCTGCTACAGGAACCAGCTCAAGGTTAAGTCTCCCCTTTGTTGCAAAGGGTTTTTTTGCTCTGCTTTCTTCACTGTACCTGTTTTTCCTGTCCGAGGACCAGACAAGTATGACTGCTGTGGAGAGCAGAGCAGTAGAGGAAAACCTTTTCCTTAGGAGAGCATCAGTCTAGCTCTCATCTCTAACACATCACAGCATTCCTCCCCCCTCTTGCTGCTTTCCCATTTCCTTCCCCCTCTCCATTTTACTTTCATGTCCCTCCAAGTTGCACCAACACCTAATGCCACAGAAGCAGAAGTCTGAGTCAAGGCAGCTGAGGCCACAGGTAACGACCTGGGATCAACCTGAGTCATCACAGAGCAACCTGCACACAAGGTGCCCGGAGATGACAGGGGAAGCATCCACAAAGCGCCTTTCATTGCAATAAAGCCAATGCTCGAAGCCAGGCTCCGGAAAGAAAAGCCTGGAGATTTAAACCAGCATGCCTCTAACAAGCCTGTCCTACCCTTCAAAGGGGGAGATGACACTCTTCTGCTCTCACAACTCGGTCACCAGAGGTCAGCGACCAAACCTTTTCAGAACAGCCATGCAGAGGACAGCGCTGAGGGCAACTCCCGCATCTTCAGGCGACTGTGACTGGGGCAAGGTTCAGCAAACCCCGCAAGCCACAGGCTCTTCACAAGGCAGCAGGATGGGCAGGTGGAGGAGCCGCCTCTGCCGGCTGCAAGGACGCAGCATCGGTGCATTCAGACTCCTGCTTTGTCACCAAAAAGCTGTGGCTGAACTCATCCACCTCATTCCTGGTCTGTCAGTAAGCTGAGACCCATCCAGCGTTGCAAAAACGCTGCCGGTGCTGGCAGGGAACGGGCGAGCACATGGACTCGAGCACAGAGCCCCAGCACACCCGGGCTGCGGTACAAGAGCACATCCACCTACAGTGAGTTTGGAGCTTCTCATCTCCCTTGGGTTTCAGGTGGAGCCTCTCCAGAACTGAAGACACCCCGCAGGCTTTCCTCTGAGAGTCCCCACACATGCCACCGCCGCAGAGAGCACAGCGTGATAGCAACGCTTTACGTCTGAGATCCCAAGCAGCTGCCGGAGCTGTGATGCTTCAGCTGGAGTGGCACAGGCAAAGAGCTCCCAAGGGATTTTTCCCCATGGGGAGCAGAAAGGGTTGTTTTTGAAGATGCGCGTGACTGCAGAGCTTCTCAGTTCTGCTAGCAGCATTGGAGAGCACAAGAAAAGCGCAGTGTGAATTGATGAAGCAGCTGGGGCACAGCAGATGCAATGGAAACCCAAAGACTGGGGACCCTTTTCATGTTTCCCATCACAACAGAGACATCAAGGCGTGGATGCTCCTGGAGAGCCTCTGGTTCCAGCTCCCAGCAGAGCAGCACATCAGCCAAAGATGAAGCACCTCATTAGACAAGCTGGTAGAACTGCTGGCTGGATCCAAGCGAGAGCCTTCCCTCATAGGAAAGATGACGTTTACAAGCCCGTACAGTTGCTGTGCTTAATTGCCTTCTTCCCAAGTGCAACCAGCTTCTCGTGAGAGATGCTGCAAGCAGCGGCTCCGAGCTCTGTTGGACTGGCTGGATCCAAGCGAGAGCCTTCCCTCGTAGGAAAGATGACGTTTACAAGCCCATACAGTTGCTGTGCTTATTTGCCTTCTTCCCAAGTGCAACCAGATTCTCGTGAGAGATGTTGCAAGCAGCGGCTCCGAGCTCTGTTGGGGCACTGCCCGCTGAGCTGCACCAGCGCCGACAGCCGCCAGGCTGCAGTCCCGTGCACACACTAGCTCAGAGTAAGACCACAGTGACCCAAAGGGCCAACAGCATGGGACTTCCCTGCAGTAATTCCTGCTTGAATGGTCAATAGCAGGCTTTTTCCATTTTATATCCACCAAACACAAATATTTGCACAAGAGTTACATTCATGTAGGTACTTGGCTAATTGCAACCTTGACTATGCCAATCCCAGTCCACCTCCCATGGAGATCACATGTGCCAAGCCCCGAATGCCAGCAAGCTCGGCAATCCTGTCACCATCCTGCCCATCAGCATCTGTCTTCACCGCCTGTTCCCACCGTCCAGACAACTTTGCTAATATTATTAAAGCTCAACTTGTAAAAGGCTCTTGCTCTTTCCATTCTTTTTTCCTTCTAAGAAGATGCTACTGTGGCATGTTGACAAAATTAGACAGATTTACGCAAGGGATTATGAGGAAATTGCCTGAAGCTCATTTCCACTAGTTCTCCGTAATTGGACTTGTATTTATGCACACAAATATAAACAGCGAGCGCACTGAACCCATGTGTCACCATAAATACTGTCTGACCTCTGGCAAGGAAGAGATACAGTGGAGGACGAAACGATGCTATGCACCAGCCAAATTTTATCTGCTCTACCCACCCTTTATTTCTTCAAAGGGCTCTGAGTCTTTCAAATTTATTTTCATTTTAAGCTCCGCCAAAAGCCTCTTCCTTGCCCCCGGAGTTAGCATTTTGGGCAGCTGCCCATGCACGAGAGATCTTGAACACCAGCAGACAAGAGGTTCAGGGAGGCGGGCAAACTTCTTCTAGAGACTTCAGTGTAGAGCCAAGCAAAGGAGCTTCAAGAAGCACACGTGAATTCCTGACGCAAGCCTTCTGTGAGATGCCACAAACACCCGGCGCAGCAGTTTTCCTCGAGTCTTCAAAGGACAATCCTTCTGAACGAGCAAGGGTCTGAACTGCATGGACAGAGAGGTACTGGAGAGGCCACAAATGTACCGAGGGACCTCAGAGAGCCCCAGGACAGGAGGAGGTAGCTAGCGGAGAAGAACTATCCAACCCGACACACATCAGCTGCTCTTCTTCAAATGTCTTTCCACATACAAAGCGAAGATGTAAGGGCGAAGGCCCCATCACTAACCTTTTTCCACCCAAAAGGGGAACGCACATAAAGGAAAGGACCGGGAGATTCAAGGGCACAATACATGTATTTGACCTCATGGAGGTCTCACAGCACATGTTCCCCGTCTCCTTCTCTCCTTGAGTCAAGACAGTGACATCCAGGAATAGTTTGGACCAGTTAGAGCATCCACTTGGACCAGAGCCCACCATGTCTCAGCCACCGCATCCTTCAACACTTCATCCTACTCAGACGGAGATCTCAATTCGCCTACACGAGGCTCCATTTCAAGCTCAAGTCCCGCACAATCCCATGAGATGTCCTGCAAGTTGGAATTCCCCCTCTGCTCTGAGGCAGTGCTGGCTGCTGCCTCCATCCGGGGCTGCCATCGCGCATTGCTTGAGATCCTTCAGCGTGAGAGGTGCTAGAGAAACACAGCGGTGACGGCCCCTTGTCCCAGAGCTGCTGCTGCCGCCGCCGCCAAGGCACCGCGATGAGGGAGGAAGGGGCTGGTCACAGCAGGGAGCACACCGGAGAAGGGGGTCCCTTCTACGGGTCTGCAGACACCACAACTCATCTACACAACGGACTTCACCATGCTGACAGGAGAGGTGCGGGGAGAGAGGGCGAGGGAAAAGGGGCCGGACTGGAGAGGAAGAGGGGGATACAGTCACGGGGAAGGGAGGGGAAGAGAGGAAGATAAATGAAAAACAGGAGTAAGAAAATATATAAGTAAATTAAAGAGACTGAAAAGAAAAAAATAATAATAATTAAGAAAGAAAAGAAAAACGCACTCAGACAAGCGGACTCACAACTTCTCCAAGCGGGAGGAGGCATGAAACACATGCAGAGGATCAGCACATGGACAGTCTTTAAAGGGGAACCTGTTTTCTTTCAAGCTGGGAGTGAGGGGTGCTCTTCCTCCCGCACGCCTGGCACCGATGTCCCTTCGTCACTCAACGCTACGCCGCGGCCAAGCGCCCGAGCTCCCGAGCATCGAGCATCGGCAGCGCTGTCCCCGGGGGGGGGAACCTGTTTTCTTTCAAGCTGGGAGTGAGGGGTGCTCTTCCTCCCGCCTGGCACCGCGCAGGGGGGGGGGGGCCAGGATGGCCACCCGGGGCAGGCTGCGGTGCCGAGGGGTGCAGGGGCTTGGTGCCTTGTCTGTGGTTTTTGGGTTTCCCTCTGCAGGGAGACGACAGCCCCCTCTTCCCCGTTACGAGATGCATCACCACGCGCTGCATCCAAAGAGGAGAAGATGGGAAAACTGCTCGTGCCGACTCAGTAATGGCATCATTTATCTCTGCCAGTCAGTAAAAACTACCCAACCTTCACCCAGCCAAAGCCACTGTGCGACAGCCGCCCCACGCCTGCTCCCAGCGCCAGGGGCTCAGCTGCAGCCGCCACCGAGCCTGCAAACTGCCTCTCCCTCTCCTCCTCTCAGCTTTTATTACTGCAGTACAGAAATCTGGCTGGTCTGGTATAAAAATCCCTGCGCTCCGCATGCACTGACAATTTTATGACCCCAAATCATCAAGAAATTACTTGGCTGGGCTCTTTACAGGATTCCTCGCTTATTAAAGTGAGATTTATTCTTCCGGCCTCTCCTTTTTGGGGATAATGACTCTGGAGTCGCTCCTGTGACTCCAACCCCCGGCAGCATCTTGGAGTAGGACACACGGCTGCTCCTCAGCAAACGTCCTGCTGGGCAACGTGACCCTGCTCCTGAAACCCCATCGGATGGCAGCACCCATCACCGGAGACAGGAGCCAGCCAGGATCTATGCAAGAGGCACACCAAACTCGGACGTGAGCCTGGACTCACCTCTGCTGTGCTAAGGCCATGTTCACTCACGTCCCTAATGCTCCCGGAGCAGGGAAGCACCACGGAAAAAGAATTGAGAAAACAGCCACGTCCTTGCTGAGGGCTTCCCTATTTCTTGAGAAGTCTGGCACAGCCCAGATCTCACCAAGGCTTGGCGCTAGCTTTGCTCCTCATGGGACACCCTGCTCTGGGATCAGCAGGGGAAAACAGAAGAAGGTGGCCAAGCACTTAAGAGCTTTGGAGGCTGCAAGGCTCAAACTGGAGGGGTTTTGCCATGCCAAGAGGATGGCTCCTCTCCATCCCATACCCACCCCCATCGCCACAACCTGACACTCCTTCCTCCCCTCTCCTGCTCTCCCCACCCCAGGACAACCCTCCACATGAGCTGGAGGAATTCCTCTCTTCTGGAAACATCTACCTGATTTCTCTAGGCATCTCATCTCTCTTGTGAGGCTCCTTTCCAGTCCAATAAGGCTCCTCAGGCTTTAGGAGAGCATCGGCCAGGACCTTGACTCTTCCCATCCAAGGCAGCAAAGCTTAAGTTTTTATAAGACCTGTCCTAAGGAAGCTTGGGCATGGCCAAGCCCTAGAAACGGTCCCATCCGCAATCCCACCTCTCCTTCCATAACCAGCCTGGCTGACAGCCAAATGGGTCAGCATTCCCACTCCTTGGGGTCAGGAATGACTGTTATCCCATCTGGCTTTAGCAGTTTTAGCGACATTCTCTGCTTGTAAGGTCTGAAAACCATCTCCCAATTACTCTGTCCCAGTTCCAGGGATGCCCATGGCCATCTAAGGAAACCAGCCCCACGAAGGCAGCCTGAGAAGTATTTTCTTGGGAGAGTCTTTCAAGATCTGCTTAGGGCTGTTTAATTACAACTGGATCAGAAAAAGTCTTAAAGATTTCTCCAAGGAGTATTTCAAAGAGGGAGGGCTTTTACTATGACTACACTTGTGATGGGAACGATAAAACACCTCACCGGCAGCCTGAAACTATAATTACGCTGCTGCCAACCATACAGTCCATCTTGAAAGAAAGACTTCTCCCATTTTCCATGATTGAGAAGACTTGGGAAGAAGAAAACAGGTACTGATGGGAACTAAATTCTACATGTCCTAGACAGCAACTGGAGACTGATTTTTGGAGCCCCCCTCCAAGAACAGTGTCTGCAGCTGGTTGCTCCAGAAGTGGCTGTTTTAACAGGCTCCAGGGGGTGGCCATGAGCTCCTCCTGGTTTGGATCGGTTGGGACAACCCCACCTCAACACGCACCTCCCTAACACCGCACAACCCTCGCGCCATGCAAGCCCTGCCAGGGCTGGGGGTGCCACGTATCACCGTCCTCCAAGAAAGGAAGGACGGCCACGGGGAGATGGCAGCTTGGCTCATCCCAAACCCCAACATGAAGACACAGCTGCCGCCACCGGGCTCTCCAGCCCTGCTGCCTCCCCGAAGGCAGGGGAGCAGCAGCATGCTGCTGGGAGGGGAAACCCAAAAGCCACAGAGACTGTGCGTCCAGAGGTGTTTCCTAGTGTTTTCGGATTCCTTATTCCCCTTTAAAGGAAGAGATGGTATTGGAAAAGCCCCTTCCATGTCCCCTCTCATGCCCCGCTCCCGGCCACCCTCCACAGCGCCCACACCATCCTTTCGGACATGGATCACCCTTACCTATTGAGCTGAGGAGAAGCTTGTCTCGACAACACTGCCCAGATAGCTGAGATTAATCAAAAACAAAGCAGTTATCAACACCCGCAAGGAGCCGAGCTCCGCAACACATCAGCACGTCAACAACTCCAAAGGAAAAGGAGGGAAAGAAACCAAACTGAAACACAAACGAAACGAGGCTGGAGAAGAAAGGGGGAAAGAAACAGAAGAGAAAGGAAAAGAAGAAAAGAAAACAATAATCAAAGCGAATGGATACACTGCGTAAAAGCACGGACAACAGTGCTGCTCTAACACGGATCTCTCCTGGAGCTGGGTCTCCTCGGGGTGCCCTGGCTAGGAGACATGGACCTACATCTACGTGCTTAACTGCACCGCTCCGTAGCTGTGTTTTCCAGAGGCACACAGAAGTCGTTTCAGGCTCGTTCAGCTCCTCTCCCTCCCCATCCTCTCCCCTGAGCCCTCCTTCCTTCCCACTGCGCACCCCAGCCGTGCCGGAGGAGTTTTCTAAGGCCATAACGCTTCCAGGTACCAGAGGGCAGGAGTGAAATGCAGAGGGCACTGTGGGGTGAAACGCTGCCTCCCCCCTCCCCGAAACACACGCCTCTTCTCCGTATGCCTCTAACCGCGCCGGCTCCACGGGGCTGGATGCCCCGGCCCCCCGACTCCCCTCTGCCACAGGCCGGAGGGGGGGGTTCAACCCCGCCAGACAACAAGCCAAAATGAAGCAAGACAAAAGGATGGGACGAAAGCACGGCTACGGGGTCTAAGGTGCTGTGAAAGACGGAGGGAAAGAGGAGAATACAGAGAGAGAGAGAGAGAGACGCTTTTTGCCTGGAGCAACCCTGGTACCTGGAAAACCAGCCGCTACTGTCTAGTGCAGCCACATCCCTCTTTAGGGCAGGATCTGAGCGTGCCGGCAGCCTCCCGATCTCCGCTGGGGTTAGTTTATTTTTATTTTTCCTCCTCTCCTGACATGCTGCTGGTGTGGCTAAGTCCTTGATCTCTCCCTGCCCGCGTCCTGGGGCTGCAGCATCCCTTTTGCAGGTGGGGCGGTGACCGTGATAGCTGTTTCTGTCATGCATTAAAGCTCTCTAGACTCCGCGGGAAGGAAGAGGAGGAAGACAGAGGCACGGCAGTGGCGGCCCTAACGTTCGAAGAAAGCCAAGAGCCAGCAGCTAGAAGAGGAAACAACCGCCAGTGACACCAGGACACTTACCTATGCGAGCCAGGAGCCAGGTCTTTGCACGCCTGGTAGACGGCCCGTAGCCCGAGTCACAGTGCTCCCAGGTTCCCAAGGGAGCAGCCAGGGAGGAGGCAAGCACGCCACCAGCACCAGGAAGGTCGCCTGCCTAAAACCCAGCTCTCTTGGGCAGCGGCCATGCAACCCGCGCCCATGGCACCAGCCTCTTCCTAGCAAAGCCCGCGGGACACCGTCTCCAAAAGGGATGCTGCAGCACACCCAGAGAGACCCTACGAGTTGGGATGACGATGGTGGGGAGGGAGTCAGAGGGAGCAGGTGAGGCAGGGTGGGGGAAGCCGGGAGGGGGCCGGGGGGGGCACCATGGGGCTCACGCACTTGCCCCGTGGCGGCTACCGTGGTGGATGTCGGCTCCGGTTGGAGAATCTCCTCGCCGGCCCTCCTCGGAGAGGGGATGTCTCCGAAAACATCCATGGTGTCCATGGGCAGGGAGGAGCCCTGGGAGCCGGAGTAGCCGGTGGCCAGGGAGGTGAAGGCGGTGGTAGGTCGGTAGCTGGGGCTGCCTCCCCGGCTGCTCGGCGCAGGCGATCCTGTCGACGGCGTGGACTTGCGGGAGAAGCTGACCGCCGCGGGGCGGTCAGCTCCGGGGAGCTGTTGCGGGAGCTGAGGGGGCTTTGGGTCAGAGGAGAAAGCCTTGAAGGTTGTAGCACCACCTGATGTAAACTGGGCTCAGCCCTCCTGACCTGCCGAGGGCTGGGCCGAGGTCGGGGTTGGGGCTCGTACCACCTGGTGTCCAGGCTGAATGTGCTTGTGCCGCTGGGGCCGACGGGCTCGGACGGTTCGTGGTAAGGCAACACGGGTATGCCCATACCTTGGCTGGTATGTCTTAGCTGCCCTTGACATCCCATGGGTTGCATAGGTTTGTCCTGCCACTTGGTGGTGGTGGGCACAGAGGGTTGGCCACTGCCGGGTGACTTGCCGGTCCAGCTCTTTGGTGCCTCCAGGGGCAGGATGCCCGGGTAGGACGCGGGGACCACCTGCAGGGAGGAGGGGGGCGGCCCCCGAGGAAGGCAGCCGGTGGGCTGGGCGCCCTCGGCCGCCTCGCAGTGCTGGAGCTGGTGGGGGAACGGCGCGGGGGCCGGCTCCAGGCTGCCGAAGGGGAACTCGGCCCTGCCCCAGGGCTCAGGGGACCGGCCCCCCGTGGGGGTCTGGGCCAGGGGCAGCGTGCTGTTGGAGACATTCTCCCCACTCTCCTCGGGGATGGTGGGGTGTCCGAAGGGCCCCTCGGGGGGCAGCGGCGGGGAGGACATGACCGAGCTCAGCGGGCTGACTTCTGGCATGTAGAAGGGTGGCGGGTCCACCTCCCCGGGGCTGCTGCTGCTGAGGTAACCGTAAAACTGGTGGTGGAAAGCCCGGGGGGCCGGCGGGCGGGCCTGGCCGGTGGCCTGCAGGGCACCGGGACCCTCCAGCGCCCGGTGGAACCGGGGGCTGTATGCTGGTGGCTGAAGGTAGGACTCCTGGCTGGAGGAGAGAGGGGTGAGCTGGGCTTTCAGGGCGGTGACGGAGGCGGGGACGACGGGGTCGTCGTTCTCCTCATCCGACTGCCTGAACTCGGGGTACATGTCCGTCTCCTCCACGAAGGGGAAGCCCTCGATCCGCCGTGTCTTCAGGGAGGGCTCCATCTCCGCCGGGTCCATGACAAAGCGGCCGTCCGGCCCGCGGCTGATGAGCTCGATGGGGGTGGTGGCCTCGGCTTCGGCCTCTGCCTTGGAGACGCTGTACTTCTTGCTGCTGATGGCTCGCTTGGTCTTCTTGTAAAGGGAGAGCTCCTTCTCCTTGGTGGGGCTCAGCATCCGCTTGGCCTGTGGGCCCTGGTCATCAGAGGACTCCGAGGGGGGACGGAGCGTGCGGATGCTCTCGGGACTCACCTTGCCGGAAGACAACCTGGACCACAGGGGAGAAAAACCAAGAGAGGGGACGGTCACCCGGAGGTGAAAGAAAGTCTTCTCGCCCAGAAGAACCGCCGGCCGGATCCAGAAAACAAAGTGCTACCAGCTCTCAAAAGAGGAACCGCTGGGAGAAATTTGCAGGGGCTAACCAGGACAGCAGTCTTGCCCAGCCACGGCACAGGCCAGAGAATCAGCAGCGGCGCACATTATCCCCGCTCCTCGGGAGCGGAGCTCAGCACACTCAGCATCCTCCCCTGGGCAGGCAGCTCACACCAATACCCTGCAACAAGCTCCACCAGCGCCTTGCAACAAGTTCCACAGCCCCAGCAGGACAAAAGACAGATCCAGAGCTCACTTCCAACTCCTTCAAAGGTTTCCTACATTAACCTGAAGCTATCCACACCCGGGAAAGCCCCCGAGAGGAGGGACGTCAGGCAAACGTCCCCCTCCCGCAGAACTCAGCATCTCACTTGGAGATGCTGATGGATCATTTCAGACCAACTTTTTCCCCCCATTCTCAACACTCAAACTTAAGGCTGAGAGCCTCAAAAGGCAGAGCGGTTCCGAATAGTTCACTCATCCCTATCCAGAAAGCCTCGGACAAACAGTATTGAAAGGCAAAAGGTAGCAGATCCAACAGAGACAGTGCAGGCATGGTTATTTCAGTGCAGTGGACGAACTGAAAAAAAGCAAAATTAAGGTCCACCAGCACCAGGACACTTTGCAACGGTCCAGGAGCCAAAGCATGAGGCGTCCACATCTCAGATTCTTGCGCTCACATCGGGAAGATGCTCCCGCTGATTAGCGGCTATACATGCTTTTGATGGGCTCTGCAAGGAGCTGTGGCTACTGCAGCACCACAATCCACCACCTTTGCGCACATGTGGAAAGAGGCTTCAGCGGGGCACTCTTCACGGGAAAAGAGGAGATACAGGTGTAAGATTCGCTGAATTTCCCAAGAAAAACCAGAGCCAACAGAGAATAACTCAAAAACTACACTGAGCTTGCATGAAGGACTCCATACACAGCAGGCTAGCCCTTCTCCTACGGAGCCCCTTCAAGCTGGGTGTGTAATTGAGTTCCACAGTCAACTCCAGCTTTGGTCAACGCCCGCAGATCCAACAGGGTCGTCTCTTAGCTTAAAGTTTGCCGCATTTGTCCCTGCTGCTTTCTGCTCCAAAGCCCGTTTGTCTTTTGTGAACCATTTTGTTCCCACAAGTTCAGCGAACACCCCAAACAACTCGTCAGAAGCAACCAAACAAGGTCAGACATTTCCATTTGAGCCTTGCAACAGCTGTAGGAAGGAGGCACCTTGAAGACCCACAGCCTGGTGCTGCATCCAAGACAGATACTTACGGGGACTCCAAACTCTTCCTGCAGTGGGTTATCGAGAGAGGAGGGTCTGGAAGAGAATAAAAAGGGGAAAGAAGAGAGAACACTAAGGAGGCGCAACACGACAGAGACAAGACAAACTCAACATCAAGACAACAAAAGACACTCAACAAGAGGCCAAGGTTTCATTGCTCCAGTGCTTTAATGGTTGCTGACAACAAACAGCTCCCGTCACAGGGTCCTGCCCGTCCTGCTGCCGCAGTCTCGCAGGCTAGAGAAGGAGCCGATTCCCCTGCCCTCTCTGGCTCCCCAGCCGCCCTTTTCCCTACCGGCCGCTCCTGCATGGCGGCTGCAGTCCCAGCTTTCGGGAAGCAGAGCGGCAGGGTCTCCTTTGCGGGGGTCTTCTCTAGCCTAGCGCGGCCATCGGGCACTGCCCGCTCCGGCTTGGGCAGAGCTGGGCAGGAAGCAGCTGGAGAGCCCAGCTCCAGGGGGACCTCAAGGAGGTGAGCGGTCCCCCCCATCTCTGGCCCAGAGGACACCCCAGCCCTAAACCCCCGGCTCTAGGAGTTATCACCACGCGAGAGCGCTCCCTCGGAAATCCCAGGCTAGTTTCTCTGTCGCCTCTTCACCCACCCTGCCTCTCCCGCTCCCGACCACGGGCGCTTTCAGGCACAGCCGAGGGATGAAGTCAGGGCTTCACCTGAGGACGCGCACGGATGGAAGAAGAGACAGACAGGGAAGAAGGTTACCACCACAACACAACCAGGGAGGAGAAATGAGGAGGTGGCGGGAGGGAGGAAGGAAGCACACCGGGGACGGGCTCACCTTTCTTGCGCTTGAGCTTGCGTTTGCGTTGCTTGTTGACGAAGCAGGCGGCGAGTGTGCTGAAGAGGATGGCAGCAGCCAGGAAGCAGATGGTGGCAACGATGCCAGCCAGCACTGGGCGGGCTAGACCCTCGTCTGTCAGGTCAGGCTGAGGGAATACGTCTGGGAGAAAAAAACCACAACAATTAGGTGTTATGCACACACCCCTGCCCGCTGCCTTCCCCGGGGACCTACCACAGCATGAAGGCAACTGGGACCAGGAATGATAATCTCTAAGCAAAGACCCTGCTTCCAACCCAGCCCACCTGGGGAGAGCAGTCAGCACTGCTGCAGGCCACTGCCAAGGGATTTAGCAACCTCACACCAGATAAACCTTTATGTCTTAGCTGATGGACCCCCCAGGGAAGAAGCCTCCACACCACACAAATACACATTTATGTACAAGCGCACACAAGTGCGCCAAACCTGCAGTTATCTCCCGGCCCGATAACCCGCCGCAGCTCAGGCTGTAGCAGCATAAGGTATTTTCCCCTGTGCATCAGTGCAACATACGTCAGCTCTTCAATGAAAACTGGGCTCCGAACCCTCATCACACCCCTTCGCTAACCACAAGCGCATCCGAACCACCAGCAGACCTCAGCTGCGGCCATTTGCGGATGCAAACCCTGCACACACCAGCGCTCCTGCCGTGCGCTCACAAGCAGGGTCAGCGCGCATTCGCCTGCTGGGAGCACCGGCTTTCAGCCTGGGAGGGCAGCTGCCTGGGGCTGGGGCGCACACACGCACACCCTGTGGGCTTTGCCAAACCCCATCAGAAAAATTGTGCGAGAGGAGCAAGGGCAGGCAAGCAGGCAGCCTGCAGCAGGCAGGCTCTCCGCACCGCGCTGGCACCACTTGGGGGCAGAGAGAGACCGCTGCATTCCTGCACGCAGCAGAGCTGGGTGGCTCCTCGGCTTTTCCACGAGAGCCATAAAAGCAGGGTTCGCCGCATCCCCGTCTCCTCCTGCTGCCCTTGCCTTCCCCATCGCAATCACGTACCCACGCCTGTCCCTTGCTCGAGGAGCATCCTCTGAGCTGGACGGGGGTGCAGGGCACGTGCACGAGCTGCAGCGTGTTGCAGTCTTCTGTTGCAAAGCTTTTTTCCCCCCTTGGACTCTGCACTGCAGTGCTACGTTTCCCTCTCTGCACCTTTCATTCCCATTTCCAGGCTGCGCACTGCCCGGTCGGAGCTTTGTTCTCTGGGCACCCTGCAGAGCCGAGATGTGCTGCCACTCTGCGCCGGTGGACACCTGACAACGCTGCACTCTGCGGGAAGGACTAAATAGGGCTGTTTGTCCTTGCCTGCTCCAAGTGCCACTGGTCCATTTGCATCGGGAGGCGGCACAGGGCCAGCAGCGTGCCCAAGACACTGATCATAACTGTGCGTCCATCAGTCCAGCTCACAGCCCGAGCATCTCAGGCAAAAGCACAAAATCAGCCATCACTGTCGTAAGCAAGTACTGATGCATGTCCTGAGTGCTAGCTCAGGTACCTGCAGAAGCAGAGATGCTCCCACAGCTGGGGGTAGAAGAAGGAGCCACCCCTTACCTGTACTGGACACGCCAGCAACGTTGCTGGGTTCGCTGATGAGATCCTGCATGACCGCCAGGACCCGGAACTCGTACCAGGTGTCCTGAAACACCAAGCACATCCGTCAGGTCCCCTACTGCAGCCTCCAACCTTGCCCAGCTCCTTGAAGACCCCAGCACAGGGACCGAGCCACCCCAAAAGCTTCCCCAGAGCTGCAGCAGACAGCGCAACACCAGAGGTATGGTGTGGGCAGCCCCTGCTTACCTGGGACAAGTCCTTGGCAAAAAACTCGTTCTCGGTCCCCGGGATGCCATCGTCCAAGATCTCCCACCTCTCTGCGACGCGGAACTCCATGATGTAGCGGTCAATGGGGAAGCTGTGGTTAGCAGGAGGAAGCCACGACAAGAGGACGCCTTGCTGTGTCCGGTTGGCTGTTAGGCACCTCGGTGGGGTAACCAACACCAGAGGCTCTGGAGTTGTTACAGGGAATGCTGGAGACAGAGCAAATGGGACAGGGACACCTTTGAGACGGGAAGCGCTGAGGATGCTCTCCCACATGTGCCCCATCGGCGGCCAAACGGACCACCACGGCAGCGGCAGTTCCCACCTTCCAGGAGTTTAGGGCACGTCTCAGACACGTATCTCTGAGATAAGAGAGCATAAAAGTGGCCTTCCAAAAAGCAGGGGACTAACGATGCAGTGACTCCAAGAAAGGGGGCACAGCGTTAGAAAGCCTCCTGCTTCCTCCCACCTCTGCCCGAGACAGCCCCAAGGCAGGTACCAGCGCAAGGCCCTCTGTGTTAGCTCCCGCTCTGAGCTGCGCACAAGTGATTTTGTGCTCTATTAATACCTCCTGACCCCAGCTGAACTTAAGGAAGATCTGAAAGGTGACTGGTACAGTACAGCTCTCCCACGCTGTCTCTCAGGACAAGCTTTCAGGAGCCTCATGCACCCAGCAAAGTCTACAAGTTTCATCCAGGACCCTCCGTGAACTATCTTCTACGCGGCTGGAAACTACCGCTGCCGATCACCATCTCCGTCCCCAGCAGATAGGACACATGGACCAAGGCAAAGGACCACTTCTCCCCACAGACCTCCTGAATCCCTTCCCCCTCCTCCCCTTGTGCCCGTGGAGGACCTACCTAGAGTGTTCACAGTGACCACCTCACTGAAGGAGCTGGTACCCAGCTTGTTTTGAGCCAAGACACTGAACTGGTATGCAGTCTCTGGTTCCAAGGTATCCACCAGTAGCCAACTGGAACCAGCTGGCACAGGGAGAGATAGCCAGTCGTGGGGGCCAAACTGGGCTCTCTTCATCCTGCCAAGAGAGAAGGGAGCATCCTCAGGAAAGGTGCCTTCGACAGGGAGGACAAAGAGGCAGCATTAACTTCTCGAGCAAAAATGGAGCTTTCCCGAGCGATGGTTTGGTTTGACAGCAGCGATGTGTATGGACGTGGGGCAGCCACTCGCCACCCAAGAGCTGGCTCGGGGACGGCACGCACGAGGACTGCCAGGCACGGGGCACCGTCCTGTTGTGCCACACCAGCATCCCCCGGCTCAAACGGACACTGCCACTAGCCCTCCCCTCTGCCGTGCACCACCTGCACCCTCTGAGCAGGGTCAGGGACAAAAGCAGTGCCAACAGCCCTGCCCTGAGGTTATCTCCATCAGATTCCCATGGGCAAAAGTGGAAGCTGGCACATTTTTACTCGGGTGGGTGCTGCAAAGGGGATGGCTGGAGCAGGAGATGGGCCCTGTTCCCATTTATACCTCGACAGCTCCCGAGCCAGAGCCAAGTTTTCCCTCGGCTGTAGCCCTGTACATGCAATCCCACAAGAGACATTTAACTAAATCACCATTTTTGCCATATTTGCACAAGTCAGGGGTTGCCAGCACAGCCCAGGGCACAACTCAGGGTTTGGCAGTGCAGTGGAGGCACTTGCGGGGAACGCAGGACACAGCCTTTCTGCTGGGGTCTAACCCACAAACCCAGGGTGAAAGAAGCTCCCAGAGCCATCCCAGTGCGACCCCAGTACACGTGAGCGTGCAGCCACCTCCACGAGCCATAACCCTGCCGGGAAGCACCACAGTGAAAGAGCCCCATGTCCCAAAGCAGCATCACCGCGCTGCAGTGATATTGCAAGTATCAGCGCTAACGTTAGAGAGATGCTTTAGGGAGTCCCAGCCCTTGGCTGCAGGTTTCGGTGGTGTCCACAGAGGATTTGGGAAGGATTACTGCAGACGGTCTATTCTGCATAGATAAGCAGGCATATCTGTAGCCACTGGCATACAGCCAGGTAAATCCACCAAGTAGGAAGTAAAAGATGGAGCAAAGACAAATAATGCCACTGTAGAGGGAGCAAAAGGTGAGGCAGGAGAAGCAGCAGCAAGCTATGGAAACAAGCAAGTCGGCAGAGAGCCATGCATGTGCAGCGTGCCTCCACCAAACCGAGCGGCTGCGGGCAGGAAAGTCTCTGTATCACCGCGGCGCTGGGT